TTAATAAAATAAAAGTTATTATTTTAGTTATACCTAGTATAAAAGTTTTATAAGACTTGAAAATTATACGCATACTAAATATTTACTATAATAATTTACATCAATATATGGTACTTGTTTATGTTATACGGGGGTGTGGGGGGGCAGAGCCCTCCACCTACCAAATGACTATTAAATTTAAAAACACCCCCGTAAAATGAATCCTGGATACGCCACTGGGTTTTTATTAACTTAAGTTTAGAGAAACTTCTTTCTCCACTTGCGACTGTGACCGGTATGGTAAACAAAATTCTTAATGAAATCCATATATTGGGGTATAAATCCTCTAATCGATTTTTTTTTAAATCTCTCGCATCCCCGTGATTTTGGGTATAGTCTAAAATGTAACAGTTAAATGTTGTATTTCAGTACACAAAGTGAACGACCACTTTGTGAAAAAATTACACGATGTTAAAATTGAGTGACCATTTCGTGAAATATTTTTGAATTTCACAGTGTAAAAAACGTGTTTCCATTTCACGAAATGGTCATCTTTTCATGAAAAGATCGATTTCACGAAGTGGCTACGACATATAAGTACATACCGTAAAAATTTGAAACATTCGCCTAATTTTGTAATGTACAATATTTTCTTAATACTATGATAACATATTGAAAATATTTAAACGCTTTCTGCAACTCTGTGCTACTTAAAGATTCAAATGTCTTGAATGCCTCAAATGTTTGGCTTTTTAGGTTTTATTCGACTGTGCGCTCAAATTATATCAMATCATATATTCATATGTCAATTATTTGTTTAGTAAACTTTTAAATTTTTCGAAAACTAAAAAATGCACTATTTTGTAATTAAAATTTTTTAAATGTTTATACCTGAAGGTTGAAATTTTTTCTATTGACTATTACATCATGTTTCCTCATAAATTTTCCTAACACAAATTGAAAAAAGTTTAGGTGTAAGGCTACAATATCATTGTTGATGAATATTTGAATTTAAATTTTTACGAAATTCGTTGTAGTAACCAATTATTTTGTAGACAATGTTGACATTTATGCTGACAGGCTGTTTCCACTCCGAATCGTTTTTCGCCATATTATTTAATGATTTATCATTGAAAATTTTAACACAACCATTACGGTGACTTACTGCATAACAAAGTTCACACTTCACTTGACACTTATTATACTCACATCAGACCGACATTCTCGTTCTCCTTATTTTGTTTAATTCTCTTTATTAAAACTTTAAACGGAACAATTTTATATCAAAATTTAAAAAAATATGTAGGTAGGTATAATTACTGATTTATGTATTTTATTAATTTATTATTCATAAACCATAGTCAATGCTTATTTATTTAAAGTAAGGTTTATCAGGTAAAAGTTTGTGGTATTATTATTATTATTTAAATATTGGTTCACATTTATGTTTTTTCTCCGAAAATTAAAATATAAATTGTTATTATATCGATTATAAATACATGGCTTATTGGTCTGATATCGGAAAAATGGTAGATTATTAAAAATTGTCCCTATAAAATCAGTAGGTATTACAATATTTTTATTTTTTACTAATTAAGACGAACTTATTGTATAATATAATACGTTATAATAAACATGAAGGTGTAATAATATATACTTTGAAATAGTTAGTACAGCAATGTCCATTCAAGCACTTTACGAAATTTGTTCTCTTTGACATTTAGATTAGAACACATGCCTCTACTATAAATAGGTTTTGACAGCAGATGCGTTCGACTTTTACAATTAGCCGGTATACAGGAACAACTATAATCTAACCAATAATTCATATACAGAACAATATTTAGTGTCAATATTATTTATTCGAACTATACAGTAAACAACTTAGTCTGTCCATTTTGTTTCGTTTAATTTATAGTAATAAATAATAATTAAATTATTAGTTTTAAATAATACATTTCCTAATTAGATTGGCGTTGCTAAAATAAATATGGCTAAATTCAACAGGAAACTTCAAGTTACGGTAAGACCACAGAAGAGACCAAATTTACCTAAAGCTGCAGTTAACATATTAACTAGATGGCTTGAAGAAAATTGCACCAATCCCTATCCATCGGAGTCAACGAAGAAAATTTTGATGGAAGTTACAAATCTTACTAAAAATCAAGTAGGTATAATATACAATATATATAAAATTTACAAATTTTTCAATACAAAAATTATCTATAGTAATAATGTGTTTAAAAAATGTTTAATCGTATAGATTTACAATTGGTTTATAAATAGTCGTCGTAGAATTCTTCCAAACATTTTAAAGGAAAAGGATATTGACAAAAGTCTAATACTATTGAAAATTAAAAAGTTCACGTGTTTTACTCGTAACAGTTTTGCTCACCATTTTGAAAAGAAAACTCAATGGTATGAATACTATAAATATTTTAACCAAACCTACATATAGTGATTAAGTTTTAAATGTAAAAATGCGTAGGTTATTATATAAATAGATAATGATGAGCTAATAAGTATTAATAACTATATATAATTATATATAATAACTTCAAGTAATAAGGCATATAAACTATATTTGTATTTTAAAAAACTTTTAAAATAATATTTATAAATATTAAATATAAATGTGCAGGTGAGAGGTTTGAGAAGCTTACAAGCTTACCTAGACCGCCTCCTTCATATTATAACTATAAATTCATTTCATGTATGGAATTTCTAATTTTATTTTAGATTCTGATTTCTGAGTAGATCGATAAACATATTATTGATTTTACAATAATTGAGTTTTAGATTCTGAGCGGAGCGATGAATGTATTGATTTT